AATTATTCTATGAGACCTTGGGCGTGGTCAAATATATCACCTCCTGAATCCAAAACTGTAATTAGATCTCAAATCGGTCAAGAGATGACGGAGCTATGAGCTAAAAGGTTGTACTCGAAATAAATCTCCGAGCCAGTCTATGAGCCGCTATGCCGCGTCTAAAAACAGTACCCTCATCTATAGAATTTACTGTATGCCGTTTGTATACTTGTAAGATTTAAGAACAGAATATCATCACTTAAGACATTTAACGTGGTATATCAGTTCATCTGTTCTTGTTGTAAACACCACGAGATAGCTTCAGACATATGTGAAAGATCATGAAAATTTATGTACACTGAATGATCGAGAATATTGGAATAAGAATAAGACCAGTGTTTCGTAGATGTCCATTCAAACAATTTTAAGACCCTATCTAAGGCCAATGACTAATAGAGCTTCGTATAAAAAAAAGAAGCTTATTTATTCATAAGCTGAGGCAACAACTTTACTAAATCAGTTCATATTGATAATTTTAACTTTAAATTTTACATCTAATATAGTATACTGAACTCCGCTTAAAAAGATGTATGTTTCGTGAGAGTCAATCAGTTTAACAAGGATTAATTTGATTTGACTGTTATATATTAGAATTTCAAATAGCCTGAAATTGAGTTAAATGATAAATTTAAATTTGGTAGTTAAATTGTACTTTGGATTTAGTAGTTAAATTAAAGCCGATATGTAGTCAGTTTATGACATTTGCCAACAAGATTGATACACACAGTTTTCTTTTTTAACACAAATACGTTTTAACATACACACAACAATACAATTTACAATAACAGTTATTACAAACAATTATTTACAAAACTTTCACAAACTTACAAGCAATATAAAGTCTTCTTTTTTAATCTGGAACTTCTTCGATATCCTATCCAGGGTTCACGATGAGCGAGTTGATTACGAGTTGACGTAGGTATATTTCACTTAACGGGACACTATCTAGCTTTGTCCTTCGTTTTTCACAAGCCGAGCTTTCCACCGTGACGTTGTGTAATGTCTTCGTAAAAATAATAATGTCTGATGAGAATCCACTGAAGTT